ACAAGGGAAGCCAAGGGGATGCTTACTTGCCTCGTGGTACAGAAACAAGATTCCTCCCTAAAGAACCACTGACTTGGCACATGCAGGCCCTGCTTGAGGCCGGGTATTGTCTGAGTACTGTCACAACAGAAGGAAAACAGGCCAGGGGCTTTGTAAGACGCACACAGCCTATGAGTGACATGTGATTCCTGCACCAACCTGGCAGCTGCCTTCCAGGAGCCTGAGGATTTACCCCCATGTGGATGTTACAACTGACCATCACAAGCCAAGCACGAGACAGGACGGAGACTGTGGAAAAGGAGGAACGCCTTCTGGAGGTCAGTCTTCAGGTCCCAGGATCAAGGAGAGGGATCCCCCACACCCCAGTTCTAGTGCCCCAAACCCTGAGGGGTCTGGGAGATCTTGCCTCACCTCTCTGGACTGAGACCTGGAAACCTGGGTGGGGCGGGCTCTGGAAGTCTTCAGGGGGTGCTGCCTGAAGGTGGGGGTGGCGAGCCCCATGTCCCTGGAGAGGAGGAGTCACTGAGCAGGTTCTGGGAACGTGGGATCACCCAGCGCATTCCCCATCCAGCCCAGAGCTCTAGGGACGCAGGTTCTCTGAGCAAGCATGCTCAGTTCTGGAGGGCCGGGAGGGTGGGTAAATGGGGGGGCTTTGATTGAAGTGGTGAGTTTTATTAATGGTTAATGGCAAAGATGGTGTGTTTGCATATCTTCTTAAAAGTTCTGGTACAATTTAAAAATGATTGGTTTGTTAGCCACTTAGCAGAAGAATAATTCAGCAGATACGATGAGGAGGTGGCCAGGGTCTGTTGTAGTATCCCACCTTGATAAGCACGACTGCCAGGATGCCCAGGAGAGTGATCAGCAGGAGGCCAAGTCTCCCTTTGTTGAACTGCTTCAGGAAGAAAAATTTCGCCCAGTCCACCTTCGACTGGCTGTTGAGAGGGTACAGGAGTACACAGGGAGCCAATTTGGTTATCATTTCAGTTATCATCTTAGCACCATGCCTGGTAGATAGGGCTTAATAATTGTTGACTGCTATTGTTATCAGTGGCGACTAGCCTGGGAACTGGGCAGGGTCTGCAGTCGGCTGGTAGGATGGGTTATGGGTGTGGAGTGTAGCTAACCATTAACTCCAATCACCCACTAATCTTTCCTAAAGTTTCAGCCCTCAGAGTTTGGAATTCCTTGTTCAAGGTCACATAGTCATGACTTTTAAAAGACCTTGATTGGGACACTTTTCAGAACACCTAACCTCCTTAGTCAGTACACGATATTTCTGCTGGGAGGTAATTGTTGCCATCTCTGCTGGGCTGCACAATTTGAGGACTAATTTGCACAAGCATCAATTGCCACCATGACCAAGGCATGGAGCATAATTATCTCAAGTGGAAATTGTGATTGAGCCTATGAATTGAGGCCTGATTTACAGGGGCTGTGAATGAGCTGCCACCTCCAGAGCCCTCCGTGACTGTTAGATGTTGGGGCTGTAATCAACTGGAGCCTGTTTCCAAACACCCACTCTCCAAGTTCCAGTGGGTCAAAAGTCCTGACTCTGGTGAATGTCAAGATCTCTGCAGAGTTTGTGGCAGAACTGAAACTTTCCCATTGTCTAAGACTTGATTCACAGTTTTCGAGGGACTTCTCTTTCCTGGTTTTGTTACCTTGTTGTGGTAGAGTAAGTATGATCTGAAGTAATCCATCTGCTATCACTCCCCTGACAAAATCTCTTTGCTCTCCCACCCACACAGTTTCACCCAGGAAGATCTAGTTCTGCCTGTGCCTGAAGGGAAAAAAGACCAGGGATCCAGGCCTTCCTTCTTCCTCATGTGAGTGACCGTAATCCATGCGGGAATTCATCTCTTGCTCTCACCATGGCCAAGGTCTGCTCTACACATGGGCCCAGAGGCCACACTTTTAGTACTTCTGAGGAGCTGATGATGGCATCTGTGACATGGAGGTCTTTAATCCTGAGGCAAGGGTATGAGTTCTGCCAGCCCTCCGTACCATCTGGAAGCAACGCTGGGAATATTTGCAGGTCCACAAATGGTATTTGATTGTTTCATGGCATGAAAGACTTAATTTGAGCCTTAATGGAGAGAGCAGACTAACGAAGATTGAGGAAACATGGCCTATGAGAACAAAACATGCTGAGTTTGAGTAAAGCTACACATTCTACACGTTGTAGTCAGCACTCAAAACACTGCAGGTAGGCAGAGCTGGAACCAATGTCCACAGATAACTCTCCAACTTTATTTTAACCTCCTTTTTACCTTCTCACAGACCAGAGTCTTGTCATAATTACCTTGGTTATACAATCCTTGTTTGTATCTCCAGAGAGACAGCCATGTTTGGAAGAAAGAACATGAGTCCCCAAGTCTGAAAGAAGTTCCAAAAAGAAGGAAATGTGTAACAGTGAAAAGTTGTAGGGTTTTGACCCAGTCAGGCTTCAGTTCCAACCCTTGTTATGTCATACGCTATCTATGAGAACTTTACAGCTTCTCTGAGTTTCAGTTTGCATAGTTCAAAATGGAACAGATAGTATCTATCCTGTTAGATTGTTTTAAAAATCATTAAAACATATGTAAAGCATTAAAAAGCTGGCTCATATTAGGTATTGGATAAATGGCAAGTATTAATATCTGTAAAATGAAGGTATTTCATAATACCCAACTTTGCAATATGGTTGTGAAAAGGAGAGGGGAATGCTTTTGGCCTGTAGCAATGTCTAATAAATGGTAGTTGTTAGTCCTGTCTTGCCATGAACTATACGTCTGCCTTTCAGCAAAGTCACCTCTACTGCCAGTGAAATGGGAAGTATTTCTATTCTATTTACCCCATAAGGACTGCAGTGGCAACTGGCGTTAATCACACGTGCCTCGCTTGATTCTTGCAGTTGTGATAAATAAAATCACATACAACGTATCGGAAGCCAGACATGGGGCACAATGTATTAGAATGAAACACACTGGGAGGCAAGGGACTTGGGTTCTTGTCTTGGTGCTGTTTTTTGTTAAGTGACCATAAGCAAATCACCAAGTAATCAGACCTTCAGGTGCACACACTGCTGACCTCTCAACAGCTGTGAGAAAATACAAATGTGAGAAATTATCACTATTATTTCTTGAGGATAAAATCAGTTTTCCCTTTTTCATCTTTGGAACCCGGCAGAGTCCTTGGCATATAGTGGGCACTCAGTAATTTTGTTTAATGAATTAATATTAATAAACTGTCCAGAAGTCATAATCATTAGTAAACTTTTTTACCCATAAACTTATAGCTTTTGGTCTGTGATTTTTTGGATCCCTGGGCCTCTATCTCAAAGTATTTGTATTCTATGCTAACCTTAACATACTCAGATATGTTATTCAGGTGCAATGGAAAGTACACACACACAAAAACTGGCAGTAAAGAGAGAAAGAAGTGGGTCTTCTGTATATGGCAGCTGTAGGGGGACAGCTTCTCAATCCTCCTACACCCAGCTCTAGTTTGGTTATCACTCATCTAGGTTCCTTATTCTTCTATGTACCCATTCTACAGGATTCATCCTCAGAGTGAAGGTGGTGGGCATTGCACAGGCTTGAGCTGCTTTTGTTGATGACTCTTCATGGGTATTAAGAATGTGAAAAACATCTATAGTTCTCCTAATGAGAGATAGCAAGTGGAAAGCAGCAAGCAGAAACATGGATGAAGGTGCTGGGCTTTCTGGTGCCAAGAGAGAGTTTGTGAAGACTTCTTGACAGTAGTGGACGTCACACATACCCTCCACCCTACATACTGTTCCAGAATTGTTATAGTGCTTGGTCCCTGGGAGCTTTGGTAGAAGAGGACAACGTATGAAGCTTGAGAGAAGGGAGATGGAGACCAAAATGTCAACAGACACCATCATGTATGCACTGTAGTAAACTGCCCTGGGCCAAGTGCACTGGCCAAAGGTGGGTGTTTTCCAGATCTGCTATCTATCAAGTCATCCCATGTAACTAAAGAGCATCTTAAGTAGTCATTTCTAATACCATCTCCTCATTGCAACTTCTTTTCCTCACCCCCCTCCCCTCGCCTGCCCGTCTCCTCCCACCCTGTCTTTTCACCGTCCCTACACTGAAGTCCCACTAAAGGTAATTTCAGGCAAGCCTCACCCAATCACTCCGGTGGGGCTGGATGTCCCACTGCAGCCTTCAACTCACTGAACTGTAATTTCTGGTTTATTTATTTACTGTCCAGCTCTGAAGAGCAGGACCTTTATCTTGCTCAGCATGTGTGTATTAGTTGCTCAGTCATGTCCAACTCTTCGATCCCATGGACTGTAGCTCTCCAGGCTCCTCTGTCCACAGACTTCTCCAGGTAAGAATACTGAAGTGGGTTGCCAGTCCCTTCTCCAGGGGATCTTTCCAGCCCAGGGATGGAACCTGGGTCTCCTGCATTGCAGGCAGATTCTTTAACCTGAGTCACCTGGGAAGCCCTTTAATTCCCAAATACCCGCAACAGAGCATCACACAAAAGATGCCTAACAAATATTTATTAGGTGTACCAGGTTATACCTCTAATTTATTGCATCCCCACCCCCACCAGGTATTATAATAACTAAGCAGAGTTACATGTCAGTCTTTTTTCTTTATACAATAGACAAAAGCTAGATACCATTCAGCTATTTTTTTCCCCTGGTACCAGATCATCATACTGCTGAGTTTCTTCAAACTAATTAAATACATCATTTGGTGCTGCATAATTTGTTCAAGACCACAGAAGAAAATGTAAAGATTTTCAATTCATTTTACAAAACCAGCAAAAATCTACAACAAAATCCTACAGGAAAAAGTAGACGAATTTCATTTATAAACATCAATTTAACAATATATTAAACGTAGCAAAACTGAGCAAGATACAAAAACTAAATCCTAGTTACACGAACACAAATGCTACATAAATAAAGACCCTCTCCCCACCGAGTCTACTTATGACGCAGACGGTAGCTTTTGTATCCCCCCACCCCCACTTGGCCCTCACCAGGGGTGGGTGCTGGCCCTAGCCCTCACACTGGCCCCAGCTCTGGCCCTATCAGCCTCATCTGCCAGGGCCTCACGGTACTGCACTGGCCAGTGTTGGGGTTCTTTCTTATGGAGTTTGGCCACGAACCCCAGAACTTTCATCTTGCTGGTTTCCAAGTTGCTTCGGGGACCCCAAGAGAATTCACATTCCGGTGGGTTGGTGTGAGGCACACGCCTGTAATTGAGGTATCTCAGCTGCACGAAATCTTCCATAATAAGCCTCTTCGGGTACCCAAAGAGGAAGTGATACTTTGAGGGACGCACCCCCAACCGACGCAGCATCGCCCAGACCTGTGCCTCTCTGGCGCTATTACCTTTCATGTAGATAAGGCCCAAGATCATCATTAAGAGACCCAATCTGGGGCCATCTCCTCTCAGAGCCTCCTCCTCATCCTCAATAGGTTTTAGTTTGTTGATCAGGATGTAAGTGTGGTGCTTGCGGTCAAGCTGTTTCAGCTCGAAACCGAAGACATACCGCAGATGGTCTGCGGCCCTTGCGATGATCTCAGGGAATAGATCCTTTAAGTCTCCGATAACGTATTTCACCATCTCGGAGCGAGTGATGGGGCTCTTCTTCCTGTCCTTCAACAGCAGAAATTGCACCAACTCGGCTACCGTCCGATCCAGACGGCGGCAGGCTCTACGCCGGGCCAAGGTTTTGGCTGCCAAAGCCCTCGCGCCTCTCGGGGTGAGACAGGGTTCCGTAGCCCCCTCCTCCCTTACAGCGCCAAGGTCCTCCTCGGGGCTCTCCTGCAGCAGGGGGCTCGGGGCCATCTCCTGCGAGGCGGTCAGAGCCTGGGTCTCACCGTCATGGCTGCCATCCATCTCCCTCTCCGCCTGAGGGATGGGGAGAGCCCCGCTCTCGGGTTTCTGCAACATGTTTTCGGGTGGGCAGGTGCAGAGCGCGTACGCGGGCCGCGGGGCGTGCGAGCCGCTGCACACACCCCGGTGGACAGCGGCCGGGGCGGCTGCAGGAGGACTAGGAGAGACGACACAGGGTTCTGCGGCTGCTGGACTGGACCGCAGAGGGCTCGGGAAGGTTGCAGCGGCGCGGCCACCGCGCAGCCTCAGTGCGCACTCGCTTGCCGACTCGCCAGACTTCTTCCGGCCAACTCAGTCAAGATGGCGGCCCCGAGGCCGCGCGAAGCCCGTCCTCTTCCGGCTCCTGCTGGGGTAGGAGTGCTCACAGGCTTCTCAGGATGCCCAGGCTGTGGAGGTGTCAGGGCTGATTTTTAGTCTGACAGGCTGGAGGCAAGGAGGGGGCAACCAGGCTATCCTAAGGTCTCAGTGTAGAAGGATGAAATAGGGATGGAGTTCTAGCCACGTCCCTTCAGCAGGTGCTTATTTCTAAGTGCGCGTGTCTAAGATTTTGAGTGAATTACTGTCACTGTGTCACAAGTGCGGTCTGCATGGAGGTGAAGCCTGGGAGATAAGGCTGTGCGGGACAGTTCGTGACCGGCCTTGAACACGATGCTCGGGAGACTGAAATCTATTTAAACAAGGGGGATTTAAACAAGGGAGTGTCCGGACCGGATCTGTATCATCTAGTCTCTCTGGTGGCCCTGTGGAGGGTGGATTGGAGAAGGGCTGACCAAAAGCTGGGCATCCAGTTTGGCGTATTGGTATTATTATAGTGCAGAATAGGAACTGAGATGTGGCCTGTCTTGTTCATTGGAGTATCCCCAGTACCCAGAACAGTGCCCGGCACATAGAGGCACTCCATAAATAAGTAAAATGGACGACGAGAGGGTAAGGATAGCAGATTCTAAATCAAAGAAGATGGTAAAAGATGTATCAAGGTACAGCTGGCAGAAATAGTAACTAACTGGAGGAAAGGGGAGGGGTTTTGTTTTTAACCTAATCAAACTTAATTACTCCCATTATTTCTTTTTGCCTGCTCTACTCTGACCTTTGCCAGTCTGTCTCCCTCCCCCCTTTCTCCAGCTCCTCCACCCTCTTCTTCCTCTACCTCTTCCTCCTCTCTCCTCCCCTCCTGTCTCTCCCTCTTCTCTCCTTTCCTCCCCTTTCCTCCTCTCGCTCCACTTCTCTCTCTCCTTTCAAGCCTTCCTTAGTTATTTACTGCCATTTCAGAATTACCATAGCAATTTGTATTTAACATAGGCCTTTTTGTGCTCTAGGCTCTGTTCTAACCATTATTCAAGGATTAATTTGTTTAATTCTCGTTAAGGTGAATACTTTTATCACTGTCCCCATTTTATGGATATGTCTTTTCTATGGGATTTGCTATTTACTAGCTATGTAATCTTGGGCACATTACCTAAACTTCCTGCCCCTCAGTTGCCTTGTGAGTAAAATGGGCATAATAGTGGAGACAGCATTGTGGAGATCTTGTGAAGAAATGCATAGAAACCATTTAATGCAGTTCTTGGCACATATTGTTCAATAAGTGGGTTTTTGTTGTTGTTGTTTAGTCGCTAAGTTGTGTCTGACTCTTTTGCGACCCCATGGATTGTAGCCCACCAGGCTTCTCTGTCCATGAGATTTCCCAGGCAAGAAAACTGGAGTGGGTTGCCATTTCCTTCTCCAGGGGATCTTCCTGACCCAGGGATCAAACCCTTGTCTCCTGCCTTGGCAGGCAGATTCTTTACTACTGAGGCAACAGGGAAGCCTTCAATGAGTGTTAGTTATTATTTATTGCATATTTTTTAATGTACTAATTTTTTACATGTATTAACTCTTCTACTTCTTCTAACAGCCCTGCTAGATAAGTACTATTATTATTCCCAATTTACAAGTGAATAACACACAAAGAGGTTAAGTAACTTCCCCAACAACATATGACTGAGCCACTATTTCAATCATATGACTCCAGAGACCATGCTCTTAACCATATTAATAGATGTTAATTATTATTATTATTATTATTGACCATACTTTGCTTTGTATTATATTTGTGCTTATCTTATTCCCCTCCAAAACCAAATATCCTGAAAGCTAGGTCTGTGTCCTTAACTCTTATGAAGAGCTCCTCAGTATCAGAACTCAGTATATACTTGTCATTGAATAAATGATAAAAGGCTTTCCTTTTTTTTTCAGAGGAAATAACATTTCTTTTAAGTAAATATCTGATAGAGTTTTCTAGATGTAATCATGAACTCTTTATCTTTAAAAGAGTCTGAAAATATAAAGTATAAAACCCATTTATACTTTATGACTTAGAAAAGCTGAAAGCATGTAAATGAAGCAGGAGGATGTTTATTATAGTCTAACTTGAGGTTATTATTAGTTTCTATTATGCCAGACATTTTATGTACAATATAATTTAGTCCTCACAAACCCCTATTAGGAAGGTATTATTATCCTCACTTTGCAAATGGGAAAACAGTCCCTGAGAGGTTAAATCACCTGTCCCCAGCCACCCATATGCTAAGTGCTAGACTAGAAATGAGAACCTCGATCTGTCTATTCTGAAGTCTGTACTCATGACCACAATGCTGGACTGCCTGGTTGTCAGTTTCTCCTGAGGGTAGAATCACTCCTACCCGAAATGGCATCCTTGCAGACAAAATATTCTACTAACATATCTTTCTCACTTCAAGCTTTGCCAAGGAGGGTTAGAGGAGGTAGCTGCATGCAAAGGAGCATACAGGAGATACATTGAATGGAAAGAATTTTGAGGGGCAAATTAGTAGTAATATGACTGGGTTTTGAAAACTGAATCAATAATATAATCCTACTTATTAAAAAATACAAAAACAAAAAAATAAACTACTGAAACAACTTGGATGAGTCTGGTTGACATTGAGTAAAAGAAGAAAGACACAAAAGATACACAGTATGATTCCACTTAATCTGATGTTCAAAATGGGTTCAGCTAATCTTTGGTGACAGAAATGAGAATGGTGGAGGCCTGGAGTGGGTTTGACTGGAATGGGATAGGCATGAACTTTCTGGGGGTGATGGAAATATTCTGAATCTTGGTTTGGGTGTAGATAATACATTTGTCAAAACTTATTAAACTCTGCCCTTAATATCTATGTATCTCTTGGTGTATAAATTATACCTTAAAATTATAAAAATAGGGTTTTAAAATTGAGGAATAATTGATAGATAGCATTAGTTTCAGGTGTACAACACAATAATTTGATGTTTATATATACTGTGAAATGATAACCACAGTAAGTCTAGGGACCATACATGGTTATAAGATTTTTTTTCTTGTGATGAGAACTTTTAAGATCTATTCTCTTAACAAGTTTCAAATATGCAGTACAGTATTATTAACTATAGTCACCATGTGAAAACATTTTTTAAATGAACAGACCTTTAGGTGATGAGGGATACGAAAGTTGAATGACTTTGCTTTGCCACTTAACAACCCCTGGATGCTACAATGTTTTTTACTGAAAGGGGCCTAGACAATCAGTTGTCAGTTTTGATTGTGGTGAACTCATACTGGACTGGCAGGCTATTTTTTCCCCAAATACTTGTTTATTTATTTATTTTTTGTGTGTGGTGGGTCTTCATTGCTGTGTGCGCTCTTTCTTTCATTGCAGCGAGTGGGGGCTACTCTTTGCTATCTTGTGTGGGCTTCTCATTGCAGTGGTTTCTCTTGTTGAGCATGGGTTTCAGCAGTTGCAATGTGGGGCTCAGTAGTTGTGACACATGGGCTCAGTTGCTCCACAGCATGTGGGATCTTCCCATACCAGGGATCGAACCACTGTCCCCTACAAGGCAGATTCTTTTTTTTTTTTTACAAGGCAGATTCTTAACCACTGGACCCCCAGGGAAGCCAAGGCCAGGCAGACGTTTAAAACAGTCCTTCCTATTTAAGCTGTTAAAAGGGAGGAAATGTATATTTCTCCTTCTTTGATGGGGTTGGGAGTGGAGGGCAGCAAAACAAAACTTTTATAGCTGTTGGATTGAAAGCTTCCTGAAGGATGATTCTTTGTAGTCTAGACTACAGTGTTTGAAAGCCTACAGTGCTTAGCACAGTTTAGTATGTGGAAAGGGATAAGGGAGTCATACTGGAAAAACAGACCGGCAGGATGAATTATCCTGGAAATGTCTGGCACTCTGTGGGTGTAGAAAAGGTGTGTTCTAGAACAAAGCACTGAACCAGATCAGAAAACCTGACTTCTGGTGTCCCAGCCCATTCATTTATTCTTGCACAGCATACTTAACCTCTCTGGACCACTGTTTCCTCATTTTTAGGCCTGACCACCTTAGCCTTTGCCAGTTCCCACAGTTATTTTGAGGTTCAAGTAAGGTTATAAATGTAAACGTACTTTTAAAATGCTCTACCATTAAGAAACAAATAAAAAGGTTATAGGTTTTTTTTTTTTTTTTTTGAAGAGACGTGGTAGAAAATTCAGTAATAAGTGGGACTGGCCTCTCATGCAGACATTTTGGAATGAGCTTACGCATTCCTGGTTGAAAAAACTGTCTGGCCAAAAAAGATTAAATAAAGAAATGTCAAGTCCTGACACTCCATCTAAGGCTAGTGACTGCTTTGGTGGGAAGCCAGAATTATCTTGTTGGATTCCTTCTAAATTTGTCAGTAGAGTCCTCCAAGCTCTCAGTGCCTTCTTCACACAGATTCTGAGCAGTGTCTCACCCCCGAACTGAGTGAGCCCCAAACTGCATAGGTGCTTATGTCTTCTCTATTTCTCCTGACAGTTTGGACAGCCATGCAGCTGATCCGGCTCAAAGAAGGGATCAGAGGAAGAGCTTTGTCCTACATCCCTGGGCCAGGGACAGAATGAAGCCCAGTTCTGTCACAGCAGAGTGGGCAGAGTGTGAAGCCCTGGGTCCTGTATGTGTGGCTGGTATTGAAGCAGGATGGCCAGGCAGATGATTCGATCTGACTTGGGTAACGAAAATTGTTTGTTACTGTTTGAAGAGCAATTGTGTAAGCA